GAACAGTTTGTAAAATCTGTAAATAAGTCATTTCGACGGAAAACAAGGTTTCATAAAAACATGGGGGCCTCTGAATGAGATTAACGCAATCCCTAACCTACAAATGAGTCTAAAAAAGTGTTAGAATTTTTATTAGCTAGAGTCTACGCTCTCCTCTAAATCTTCACTGTCACTTGGTTAATTTCCTTGTTCACAAATACATAACATGTGTATTAAATTATGAGAGATTTTTAGAAACGAACCCAACAAAAAACTAGTTTTACCTTGGGCACACGATCCCACTCACTGGAGTCACAACGCGCCACCACCCGTGTGCTCCTGGTTCACCACGCGCCATCGCCAGAGTGCCACCCGCCACCTCATGTGCAGCCACCGAAACTGGAACACACAACCAACACTAGTCTCAAACGCTGCCTATCGACTGGAGATCGCCACAAAACCACTCGCGCATCCAAATATGGCATGGATCTTATGGAATTGGGCTAAGAACGCACCACAGATCGCAAAGTCGTACATGGGCACCAAGCGGGTCTCTTTCTCCCACCACACGCAGCTGCGTTATTCCCTTTTTGGCTTTCTATTTTTGGTGCAAACGGATCAGTCTCTTAGATCCAGCATCTAGTTTCGCGCATCGGATAACCCTTTCTGCCATACACTGGTCTTCTTCTCCAATTTATTTTCTCTCTCTACATGCAGTTCTCTTTCTCCTCACGCACGAGATCTCTCCTCTCCATGGTTTCCTCTCTCTCTATTTTTATAGTTAGAGAGAGGAAAGCCCATACGGGCCTTCCTCCTCTTTCTTCGGTGGAGGGAAGAGGCGTACACACCTCTAATTGCCCTAATTTTTTTTCTGTCACCAAAACAACGTCGTTTTACTTGCTTCTATTTTTTCTTCCTTCATATCAAAACGGCGTCATTTTTTAGGTTTCCCTAAATAATCTCGTTTTGGCTTTTCCTGCTTCTAAGAAACAGGTGGGTTGGGTTTGTTTCTCTCGGGCTGGGTTGTTACATTTATGGTTAAATATAACTCTTGAAATGAGGTTGGCCTTAATCCATTTTCTATGATTTATTCTAGTACACTTACCTTGAGCTCTAAACTCTCTTAAATCTCTCGAGGTATGGTGTATAATAAATACAAGACAATAGAAAACTATATATATACACACATATATAAATATAAATTTATAATAGAGACTAAATTGTCCTATAAATTGGTGTTCTAGGTTTCCTAACAAGATTTCTCTGTATTTTTTTTCTTGTTGGACAATGAAATACACTTCATAGGCTACGAAAAGGTTTTATTAGTAGTATTGTGCTTTGATGCTTTATATGACTCATTTAATCCCATGAGAAATTTCATCACTAGTCCCTTTCTTAATATTATCCTACAACTCTCAATCATCCACAAGTGCAATTTATGATTGATTCATAATTTAGCAATTCATCAAATAACTGCTTTCAGTTTCAAAAAATAAACACTTATAGTGTCTAGATTCTATATTAGTTTGCCTATGGCCTCTTTTACTTCAAAGATTATGGGAGCATTCTGTTGTACATGTCTTTATTCGAGGTCAACCAAAAGTTGGTGAGTAGTGTTTGTATAGAAAGTGTTATACTTAATATCAGCCAACATAACATTTTATATTCATATGATAACATCGGTAAACCTTTGTTTATTTTTTAATTCTCATCGCATGCTTCATGGATCTGGCTCAAATGTAATATTTGCTCATGTCTAGTGATTGTGTTACAAGTAGTGTGTCCGAGTTTTTGTTGGCTTTGATATAATATGAGCTATTTGGATTAGAAGGATCAAGAATACTTCCACTTTAGGAAGGTGTATCTTGACAAGAGGATGAGTTTACAGTCTGATTTGAGCTTTCATTCTTCATGATCTACTTTGATGCCATCAAAGTTATCTCTTAAACAAGATAAATTTACCTATTTAATGATTTGTAAAAAGAAAAACAGATGAGCACAACCAAAGAAAAGAGAAGTAAGAAGAGAGAGCTAGAATCAAATAGAGAAAGACGAGGAAAAACCATAATAGGGTTAGTTTTTATTTATCTCAAATCTTCTCTCTCTCTCTAGTGGAGAAACCAATGTTCGTATACCTACACGAAATGAGGCATAATACACCTCTAAAACACATAATTATTTTTCCCCTTACCCTAAAATCTCCTATACATATACATGCATACACATTACCCTAAAATCTCCTATACATGCATAAAATGAAGATTTGCATCCCATTTCAACTCGGATTCCTTTCGAATTGGTTAGACCTACATTTTGACACCTCTCTCCATCTTATGTTTTTGTTCAAGTAAATTTTTGTGGGATTATGATATATTGTCAGTTTTGATTAGAAAAAGACCATGTTCTTTTTTTCTTCTTCTTCTTCAACAAAGAGAAAAACTTAAAAGATATAGAAAGCAATTGAGAAACGAAGAAACAACCAAGTGAATTGGGAAAAAGATTTTGAAAAATCAAACACTAGATAAACAAGATGATTTGGAGCAAAGTACTCCGCATATTTAAATTTTCTATCCTACTCTCTCATTTTTCTACAGTTTTTAAGCAACCAAACATCTGTGTTTTAGTCTTAATTCTTGACTTTAACTTTCAAATCCAACTGCAATATTCGGGCTCAGAATTTGACCCGAGATAATTTTTCTCATTTACAAAATATATAGAAATAATTAAAAATTTTATTTTAATTTCAATTTTATTAAATTATTTAGAAAAAATGAATTAGGGACGAAATTGAAAGCAATTTTGAAAACAATTAGTGAAATTGAGAATAAGGTGGGTGTTTCTGAGAGAAAAATTAAAAACATGGGGTAAAATTGCAAAAAAAAAGTTTGGCCACGTGGGACGGCCTAGCCAGCAGTCACGATGAACCAGAGCACGCTGTATGGTAAACATGTTTACATCGGCACCATGTGCGAGGCCACGTGGGCAATCTGCGTGCATGGCGATCTAACGGTCTAGATCACATCCTGTGCGCATGGATATCCCAAATATATTTTCTCTTAAGGCGTTATCGGACGGATGTGGTTGATCGCGATAGAGGACCTAGATTCGTCCACACAATCAGCCTAAACAAAAAATCATCGAACGGTCCTCCTCGCTCCACGTCGACTCAAACAAGCGGCCTGCATCGAATGGAGAGGAGTATTTAAACTCCTCTTTATTGGGAATTAAAATCCTAGCTGACAGATGGGTGACTAGAGAAAGAAGAACAAGGGCGATCGGGGAAAAGTACCAGATGCTAGAGAATGAGACCAACCACCGTCACCGCCACACCGGAGCTACCGTCGATGCCAAAACATGTATTTTTTCCCCTTCCCGCTCAAAATTTAATCTCGAGTATCTCTATATCCATATCGGAGCCAAAGGATCAATGGGTGAGCCGAAAACAGGTTAGTTGAAGAGGAACTCCAGCCGCAAAAAAGAACCAGCGAAGCTGCTGCTCCTAGAGACCCCTTGCCGCTAAATTTTAATTTTTGCCTTTTCTGGTCAACCGAGGCTTCCTAACCTATCTTTTGTAGATTTACGTGTAAAACCAATAAAAACTAACCTAAAACGGCATAAACTGGCCCAGCCAAGGCGACTCGTTGCTGTAGGCGATGGAGCCAGTGCCAGAGCATGGCGCTGCCACCGTGCCGGAACCCTAAAATTTGCCAAAAAGGTTTTAAAATGCCTATTTTGGCCTTTTAGGGTATTGTTGGATACTTGATGAGTGTTTTGAATTCTACATGAAAAATCCAAGAAACCTGAGGACCACCAGGAAGCGCAGTAGATAGTACAGTATTTCGAACACCTATCCGGGATAAAAATCTCTCACCCTTTTTTCTGTTGCAGTAAATTGAGGCTTAATAATTAATAATTTTGTGTTTTGTGAAAATTAAAAAATCCTAAAATTAATTATAGGTCACTAGTGGAATCGAAATCGGTCAATGCATATTCGTCCTAGTTTATTATTTTTTTTCTCTTATACTGTCTAAAATTCTTACTATTATGTTGTGTGCGTTAAATTGCTAGTTTTTGTTGCCTTCTCGCTTATCTAGATTATCTAACTACATAGCCTCAATTTTTGGTTCAGTTGTAACAAGTGTCTCAATTATGTTGTCTTGACTTATGTACCATCTCTTTGCTTAACTTATTGTTGATTGATAAGTATGGGATATTGATATAAAATTGAAAATTAGTTAATAATGAAAATCTATGTATGAAAGTTTACTAGGTATCCTGGGAAAGGATAGACGGACTTGGTACATAGGAAAAACCCTACTGTAAATGTTACTTCAGTTGGACGGGGCTGGAAAGCCCCATACTGTAAGAGTTTGGAATATGGTTCACCCTCATACCGGATGGGGTATCGAGGCAATAATATATTTGGTGCCCATTACTATATGGGGTATGGGGACGGCCGATTGATTAATAAATTTGGATATTGGGTTCACACATAGGGGGGACATCCCTATGGACCCCTAGAGGTACCAGTAAGCAGGTAAAAAGGAAAGTTGTTGTTCTTGCTCATCTGTATATGAAATCATAAGATTATTTGAGTTATTGTCCTTATAGGTCGATTTTGAAAACTCGTAAAAGTAAGTATGGAATAAATAGTTTTATGTTAAATGAATTTATTTAAAAAAAACAAATGGCTCCAATAGTTGTTTTATAATTTTTACCAACTTTCGATTTTTGTGTCAGTGATTAATGTGCTATTCTTACTAAGCTAGTGTAGTTCATCCCCCCCTATTTAACCATTTTATATCGAAAAATCAAGATCCAGATCCTGAACAACAAGAGGGTTGTGAGTAAAAGTTACCTCCCGGACCCATCAAAATTACCAGTGGAGGTTAAACCCATAGAATTTTAGCTTCATTTCTGTTTCTGTTGTTTTAATTCTTTTTAGGGATATTTGTGTAGCCCTATTGGGTATCCCAAATTACTGTGTAAGGAATGTAAATCCTAATTATTATTTTTTTTCGCTATTTTAATATATATTCCTTTCCTTAAGGTATTGGGCCTTTACACCAACTACTTTTTTCATTTAATCAAGTTTGAAATGGTCAATGACTGATTTCCAATCGAGTCAACAAGGAAAACAAAAATTAAAAAAAAAATCATTTATATGCATTGATAAACATCATCCTCTATCAAAACTTCAACCACTATCGTTCTCTGCATGTGAGCTCTTTCTTTTGCAAACTAATAGAGCAAGACTTTGATGGCTTTTTGGATGAGATGTCAACACGATGGAGAAGTTTGTGAACACCAACATAGTTGCTCCTTTTTATTTATTCATGAATTAATTTTGTGTTTGGTTGTTAAGAAAATATAAGAAAAAAAAAGGGGTGGAGATAAGTTTTTTGCTCTTTTTTTGGGTCATTTTCTTCTTTAGAAAATCATTTTTGGATTAAATTTCTTTCTTAAAGTTTTTCCTTTATGCAATATTTGATTTATAAATTTTGAAAAATAAATAAGAAGACTTCAACTAAAAGATGAAATAGTAATAAACATGGAGAGGGAGAGAAAGAGAGAGAGAGAGAGAGAGTGCGCGTATGTGTGTGACGAAAGAAGAGAGAGCGCTTGGATTGAGGAAGGAGATGAAAAAAATAGAGGAGAGAGAGGAATACTTTTTTCTTTTTCTAAAGAACTTTTAATTTTTCTATTAAAAATTTATCCTTAGTCTATTAAAATCAAACAAAAAATTCAAAGACTAAACTGTGTAAAAAATATTTAGCATCAAAATATAACATTTGATATGCTTTAGGGACAAAATTGACTATTTGTCCTTTAAAGTTTTGATATAATTGTCATATAATAAGACATGTCTAAGTAATTATTATTTTAAAAAATGTCAACAAAACAATTTGTTTGAAATAATATTTATGACTTGATTATAATAACTGAAATATTATAAATTAAATTAAAAAAAAAGGAAAATCAAACAACATTTTTCCAGTTAAGATTATTTTAAAATTTTGGCAACTAAAGTTTGTTATATATTGAATTATATTTCAATTGATTAAAAATAGTTTAGTCTTACTTAACTATGTAAAAACAAAAGGTTCCATAGTTATCTATATTTACTTAAATTAATATATTATAAATTATAATTTGATACTAAAAATATTAGATAATTCCTACAATTACTTATATATTTTTACTAGATAATTCTCACAATTAACTATATGTTTTTACATTTATATCAAGTTATTTTTAATTTTTACATAAAATTTTTTAATTTTAATATTTTTCTCCTTAAATAATATTTTAACTATTCTTGTAACACCCAAAATTATTATTATTTTTATTAATATTATTTTATTTTATTTTAATTTTTTTTAATATAATGATTTATTATGTAATAATATATAGTTTTAATTTAGTTTAATTTAATTAAATGGAAATAACAATAATAATAATAAGGGATAAAATTATTTTTGAGATTTAATTAAAAATAATTTTGGGAAAAATGAGTAAAAATTTGGGTTCTGGGGGTGTTTTTGAAAAGAAAATTGAAAATTGGGGGTCAAAACGCAATTTAAAAAAATTACACCAAGTCAGCAGCCCCGGCCTACCAGGACACGCCGCGTGGCAGAGACACTGATGCGGGAGGCCACACGGAAGGGCCACGTGGGCGATCCGTGTGCGCGCGATCGAACGGCTGAGATCCGTTCCTGCGCGCACGGACGGCCCAGATCAAAAACGCGTACGAACGGCCCAGATTGCACGCGTACGGATGGCCCAGAT